TGCCTGTTTCTTTCTTCACCAGTGACCTAAGGGCAAAATATATTTAGAGGCATCATTAATCTTCAATTTTTATCTTAAGACTGTAGCTCAGCCAAGCCACATTAGTAGCAAAGATTTCTAGGTGATTACATAGCCATCAGTTAAAAGCAAGTCTAACAGTTATTTAATGTGCCTTAGTGGACTAATACAAACCACAGGGAAGAAAAAGAAAAAGCTAATGTTGAACATTTACTCTGTGTTAGGCATTTTCACATCTGTATCTCCAAACAACCCTAAGGAGAAGGAAAGGAATTAAACATATGAGTACCTCACTAATGCCTAGAAACACTGAAATTTTGGTTCTAACATTTGTATATTAATGATGAGGAAATGTAGATGATTACTCAAGGTCATATCTATCTAGTAGGTGTTAAAGCAAGGCATTTGAAACAGGCTTTTTATATCATACTGCCCCTCCTTACATCATTATTGCCTTATGAATCCTTCCAGTCTAAATTTACAAATTTAGGGTTAAGGGATATATGTTTAGTAAGCTGTAAATGAGGATCTTGAGCCACAAAATTATTCCAGTCTCTTGGCACCATTATCTTCAAATGAGAGCAAAGAGTATTATATTTTTTTCTACCAGTATAATCACTATAGTGGCCCTACAATAAAACCTGTTGTAACATAGAAAACTTTGATGAAAACAACCTGATTTTTTTTTTTATTTATGCTCTTTATCTATTATATGCATAATTATTCACTTTTTTTTAACACTTTTTGCTTTTCAAATATTGTTACCCTTTAAACTTGAGAGAGAATGCCACTGTGGACTACTAATATCAGGAAAAAAATACAACTGACTATTTTTATACATCGCCAAACATTTGTACAACACTAAGATGCATTTTGAAATTTGCATAAAAACAAATTACTTGGTTCTGGATTTAACCTTTAGGTTTGATAACAGGTAAACCGTCCCAGTAAGATGTTGAGCACAAACTGTGTACTGGTTGAATATCTTTCTTTGTGCTCTTTGTGTCCATTTAATAGATAGTGAGACCCTCCTATATGTCAGCAGCTTTTACAGGCACTGGCACTGGGACTATATCGAAGAATAAGAGTTTATGAAAACGGTGAAGAGGTGTCCTTTTTTAAGTTTCCCTGCATTCATAAGCATTTGCGTTTATGCTTTTTAAAATATGAGGTATACAAGATTATATGCCTCCTATCTGCCATATATCTATATACATACAAATATATATGTACATATATATATATATATATACACACATTAAATATATTTTGATGTGTTTAGATTGATTTTTGGTACTGCAATGTCAAGATGGGAGTTTGGACGTACAATATTTTATAAACTATTTGTTATATCCAATTTAATCCCACACATATGTGCACTAGACTACGCAGGGGAGCTTTTATACATGTACCTTTAATTTCCTCTGAGAAGCACAAAGAAAATGAAAAAGGAAATGATTAAATGTGCAGAAAATACAATTAAAGTAGGAAGATATTGCATCCAAGGGAAAAAAAAATCAAACTCCCA